TGTTTGATGTTAGTTGAGTCGTGCTTGAATGCAGAACACCAAGTACCCAACAGCAGCAGGAGCATCAACAAACACAACCAACTGGATATATACCAAATGGAGCACACACACACACACACACACATTTATATACAATAGAACATCGCTCCGCTCAGGCGGCAAATCTCAATGATGTTTTCCATCTCGAGTAATTTATTGTGTTCACACAAATATTCGGTGTTGAGCATTCAGCTGGATAAAATAGTAGTGCTGAATAGTGCTGCCTACGAATACAAAAGAACATCGTTCAAGTGCCACAATTTAATTTGTTCTCTTGTGTCTTCTGGATTTTTGTTGGCATATCCAAAATTTTCAATCTTAATTCATATTGGTGTGATGTGTGCAGCTGTGCGGGCACATTTCATGTATTGTTTTCAACATCATCAACATCGTCATCGTTGATGGATCTCGTTTAATGTCGGTATTGCTAACACGTACATGCATAATCAATCTCTCAACTCAAAATTAACTATTTCAGATTTTTGCTTAATCTATTATTGAACGACTCGATGTAATAATAACGAGCATACCGATGATCAAATATGCCAGCCTCCGAACATTTTGATACACCATTGAAATATTTATCCCAATTATGATATGTTTCGATATTTATCAGTGATGACTTGTAGTTCCATTTTCGATTTGTACATAACAATTGATGATGTGTAGACGGAGCGCAACGTAATGCCAATAAAACTAAACAAAAGCGCCGATACTGATCGACATCAATATTAATTGAGTAATTGCAAAAGCAAAATAGCGCATTCCATTTCATGTTGGCGTTTTATTTTCAATAACAAATTTATTCAGTCAAAATTGAGTTTCTCTTTGCACCAACAAAGTAATGGCTACATCAACATTTCACTTGTTGTTCGTATCTCCATTTCTTTCTTTAGTTTCGTTGAATTGAATTTGGACAAAAGTTTATGACTCGATGCAAATTGAAAATTCAATTCAATTGACACGAAACCGACACCAAAGATATCATGCTGACTTTGCGATTCGGTTGTCTTGATTCGTCATTCCATTGAATTTCTTAATTCCACCAAGTTTCATCACCACGGCGCTGGTTTTTTTTTGTTTCTTCCAACACCATCCGATTGTGTGGCATTTATTCGTTCACGTTTCGCTATTTGATCGCAATTTGCATGCGGCTAAATTGCCGACCACTTCTTTGATTCACCCATTGTATATGGAGCTCGCGTACAATTGAATGGGGTAGAATAAAAACTACTTCTCGAAAAATTGCTATTTTAAAACGCAACCTAAAAAAAATTTCAATAAAAAGTGAATCAATTTTTTTTTGTCCAATTGAAGTGAATCAAGAAAATTTTGTTCAATAAAAGTGAACCAAAAAAAAAATTTCACTCGGTTTTTTCAGTGTAAAATACACTAAAATGAATTTTTTTTTTTGGGTTCACTTTTATTGAACAATTTTTTTTTTGGTTCACTTCAATTGGACGAAAAAAAATTGATTCACTTTTCATTGAAAGTTTTTTTTAGGTTTCGTGTTTAAACATTTTTCGAGAAGTAGTTTTTATTCTACTCCATTCAATTACCTCAAGCTGAACAAACGAATGGATTTAACACCATATCATTAATACAATCTATTGTTTAAATGTGTGAAAACGCATTGGATCATTTAATGTTTGCTCAAACAACAACAAAACATACACTATTTGAGTATAAGAGCGAGATACCAAGCATCGAACAAACGAGCGAAGAAAACAAAAATAGACTCCGGCAACCGAATCGTATACCAAAATGTGGAAACAAAAAAGAAATATGTTTGTACACACTAAACAGCAAATGAATAATATGCTTTATACATTGATAATGCCAAAATGGATGAAAAAAAAAAAAGAAGAAGCAACAACTGAAGATGTGAACGACGAACGAGAGAGAGAAAGAAGCCGATTGAGCAAAGCACGTTTTGAACTCGGTGCGAGCGAGGTGTTTATGTGTTTGTGAATTGAGTGTTTCGCAGAATACACATCATTCAGTTGCTTTCGCACTATTCAATTTCAATTTTTCATTTAAATGACATTCCACGCTCCGATATATTCAGATAATCAGACAAAATGTGCGCTCGGATACAAGGGATTCATTGACGAGAGCGACAGATAGACCAGAGGCATGAATAAAAAGCCAAAACCGAGAGCGAGACACAAAGAGACCCACCGATAAAGAGTAAAAAAGAAACATTTGAATGAAGAATTATGGCGTCAATAACAATCACAGCGAATGAAGCGTATAATTGAGATGGATTGGATTGGATTGAATTGGATTTAGATTGTGTGTGTAAGAGTGATTGTTTTTTTTTTGCTCTTATTATTCGGTTGCGGTTGTAAGAGTGAATCAAATGCAAAATCGAATAGCCGAAAAAATTATGCGGGGACGCTTCAAACAGCGATCATATGACCATGATAAGCGTAAGTCAAATAAAACACAGCCCAGAACGTCACGCGCGTTGAAAAAACACCGAGTGTGAAAGACACGAAAGAGAGAAAGAGAAAAAAGAGACGTGTTGAATTTATGATTTATTCGTATCTTGTGCGTTACTGTACAACACGATCATATTCGTGGTGACGTGTTCGCATTGACTTGGGTCAACTTCCATTTTAAATCCCCTGCTTTCATCAATGGTTCAAGTAATTTATTATTTTTATCCGCTTAGTCTTTCAAGTCGATGTTCGACCACTGTGTATAATTTGTGCGTGCTTGTGTATGTGTTACTTCGGACAATTAATTAACGACTATTTCTTTTCGTATTCTCTTGTTGAATGTTGAATCTCTTTTTTTTCTACGCACACAATATTTTTCTAGTTTATTTTAGATATGAATTCAGATCAAATGTTTGCAATCGACAAAAGAGTCAAACTGAACATTTTGTTTGAAGATAGAACGAAGTACGTGGAATAAAGACAAAATAAGAAACGGAAAAGTAAACACTTGCCGACCGTAATAAAACAATTTAGACAAGCATTTTTGAAATGTTATCTTATGGCATTTGGACAGAGAATTTATTTTATATGCACTGTGTGCTTTCACATCCGAACAACATGAATTATTGTTGAATGTAGCATTATAGCATGCGAGTGAATGAGATGGAACGATACATCTGTTTTACGAAAAGCATTCAAAAATGATATGGCTTTTTCACATTTTCTCTTCTGACCATTTGAAGGCAATGTCAAGGTTTTGCTTGTTCGGCTTTTGTTTGTGTTTACTAATCAATTGTATTCTAGCCATTTCTTTAAGCCCATTATTTTGACCTTTTTTTACATCGAGCATACATCGATAACTATATGCACAGAACATTTAAGTGCATGTCAATTTATGTAGATAAGATTCAGTAGAAATTGGTAGTGTATATTGGTTGATGCAATTTTTCACATTTTTTAAAATATTTGCAGAGCAGATTCTATCTGAATAGCCACTGATCCAGACACCACAAGTCCAAGTGTACTTAATTACAAACTCAAAATTCACTAATTATTTTCGTCATTTCCTTTCATACACGAAAACATATAAAAAATGAATTGATTCATTAATCTGTACGAGAAGTTTCAATGGCGTGAAAAAGACGGTTTTCCATTTCCGTTCATCTAATACAACTGCTATTTTTTTAGAAGTACACATTGCATGATTGTCTTGACTCTTTGGCCGAATCAGCCCAAAATACTATTTACCACACACAGCATCAGTTTCATTGAAGCAAATGTGTGTAATTCGTAGAATTGGCTGTTTTTGATGTGAAAAACCATTGTGACACAAATGCTGTGAAATATTAAAAGTCCAATTGTCTACCAAAATGGATCGATAAGACCATTTTCTATTTCAATCGTCTTTTTTTTTTGTAATTTTTTTACCACATTGATATATTAATAATCTATCTCTATGATCGTCATCATCATAATCATCATCGCTGATTGTGTTCTGAGATAATTCATTTGTGATTATCTTATGGTAAATCGTTTTTCTGTTTTGCTTGCGTTTGCCCATAATCTGTCTTCTTTTTGTGTTTGTCTCTCTGTAATTTGTTTGCTAAAAGATTCGAACATCGTTGGTTCAATTTTCCATGAGATAACCAAATCGCATGAATAAATGTGACAAATGACAATGCATGGCCAAGCCATGAAGAACATTTAGTGCAATTGGGTCGCGGTAATTATCATGATTTGGCCTGTGTGTTGATTCGCACCCATTATTAAATTAAGATTGATCCAACGAATAATTATAATCGCTTGCGTTTTTTTCTTCATTATATGTACTGTTTTTCACATTTTCAGCTGAGATTCATTCTGCTCGTTTATCGACCACATTAACAGATTGTTATTAAACAGAAATGGGAATTTAAAGAGAAGAAGACACAAAAATAGGCTGAATCTGTGGCACAGCAATGATTGAATGAGGGTAAAAAAGGAATGAAAAGAATACAAGACTACCGATGAAACGATACAAACACATACACAATTGCGAATGGATGGAAGAACACAAAGCAACAGTAATAGATATTACGGAGCATAAGAATCAACATTTGTATATAGAATGGCGCATATAATTCAAGCTTTATAAATTCTCGCTCTCGGTTCGATGTAAATGTAAAGTCTATATAGTCAACTCAATCGATTTGAGCTACAAATATTGGCAATATCGAAGCAAAGTATGTGCAATTCTCTATTCTCCATTCAGGCATTCATTCAACTAATCTGTCCAGAGAAGTATGTTCATAAGTTGAATGTTTGTTATTGTTGTTATTTTTTTTTTTTTTCGTATTTATCTGTCGTTTTTTTGTGTGTGCCCCTCTGCGCTCACTGTTCTGAACTTGTCCAACGTGCTAAGGTCTTTCAGTCAAGTGTGTGCGGGGCACCCGATATGAATTGCAATGAAAATATATGTGTATCTTAATCGAAATGGCATAATCAATATAAAGTAATATTTGAAAATAAAATACTTACAATATAAATATGAAGATGAATAAAGTCGGAAACAAGAATATTTCTCCGTATTTCTCTTGTTTGTGCGCGCATGAATTATTTCTACATGTAGTAATCCCAAAAATAGTTTCAATTTGTTTTGATTACGTCTCTAATAGTGTTCGAATTCAATTGGAATGGTTTTCGGTTTTTTTTTTTATTATTATTATTTCATTCAGTTTTGTTTTTGAATGAGAAAAATGTTTCGACGATGCATTTAATGATGTATCATTGTTGAAATAGTTTTAATATATTTGATGATGTTGTGCATATGTACACCACTACGATGATATTTATCCGCTGGCCTTTTGCATATAATCCCAGTTAATCCAATTGATTATGAATGCAACAAAAATTATCATATTCAAATTCTGGTTTATCTATCATACAATAATCGCATTTTTCATTCTTTCATATTATTGCACTACGGTCAAAACAATTTCGGTTGCGGCTCTATCATAAAACATATTTTTTTTTCTTTTTCGTTACCAAAAACACTAATTTTTTTTTCTTGTCGCTTTCGTTTCGATACTTTAATTCGTTAGAGTAATCCAAATGGTCGTTGAATATGAACTGTAGTGAAATATGTGGTGCTGGTCACTTATGTCTCCAATTTTTAAATAGCCGTTAAATTATTCACTTTAATTAATTTTCTGAACAAGCACTAAGAGTGTCTGTGTTGTCCGGCAGCTTCGTTGTTTTTGTTTTTGTTTTGTTCAGCTTCAATGGAATAGGTATTAAGCACTTGCACTGTAATTAATGAACAAAAATAAATAAGCATTTCTCTTTCTCATTCTCGTATTCTTTATGTGTGTATTTCATTTCATCTTCTGCTGTCTTCGCTCTCTCTCTCTCTCTTTTTATTTCTTTTCTCACATTTTGCCTCTTCTTCTCTTATAATCTTCGGCTTCGCTTCGCTTTACTTTTATATGTTATTCCATTTGTCATAACAAGTAATGCGTACGAGCATATACATAACAAGAGTAAAACATGCTTGGGTATGAAATTGATTTGTACATTTACTATTAAATGTAACCAATTCTCAGAAAATGATTAAGTTTTATTTCGTTCAATGTGTGTGTGTGTGTGTGTGCGTGTGTGTATTTTTATGTTTAGATAAATTTGCTGGTAAATTGTAATTCAAGCCAAACACCGAGAAGAATGTAGAAAGGAGATACAAAACAGCACAGAGAGAGAAAAAGAACGTATAAGCAGGAGAAAGAGAGAAAAAGTATGTGTTAGTTTCGGATTCGCTTGAAGAAAAGAAGCAAAATGGAAAATCCCTTTTTGACCGCTTAGTACATTGAAAAAGGAAGACGAAAAAGGGATTTTAAAAGAAGAACACATACAAACATGCCACCGTATACATGCACACACACACACATACATACATTATGGGGAAGAGAAAAACACTCTAGCGCTCTCTGTACGATGATGTACGTGCTAGTGTTGTGTGTGTGTGTGATGTATACGTGAATTCCATACACATATATGCACACACAATGACGCGACAGTCTTTTGCTTTTGGCTTTGGATTTGACTCTATGGCGATGGATATGGAAGAGATATATGTATACGTTGAATACGCTTCACCATTACGAACAACGAGAATATTAAAAGAGAATGGAGAGAGAAAGAGCGAGAGAAGAACCATCGCATTTATTATTATTGTTGTTGTTATTTGCTGAATGCGAGAAAGATTCTAGCATTTACTATGGTTTTATGTAATGGAGAGAAAATCACAAACAACAACAACAAAAAATACAACATTCTCTACATCCAATCCAATCCACATGAAGTGATGATTGAAGTAACGAAAGAACAAGAAATTGAGAAGAGAAGCAACAACAGCAGCAGCGACAACGACTTCGACAAAACGATAAAACGGATGGCAACTTTGAAAACGCAACCAGAATATAAAAAAGAAGAAGAGGTGTTAAAGGAGCGCTTCGTATATAAAACAAACAATATGAAACAGGCGAATGAGAGTATACACAAAACAGATACTGATTCGCTTTTTGTGGTATCGTTGTTGTCGTTGCTGATGCTCCTTGTCAAAAGTCCTTTCGATTTTGACTTTGGATAATAAATCATGTCATTTAAGCGAATCTCTGCTGGAGCAACCGATGTTTTTTTTAGTCGCTCTCTCTCTTTCTCTCTCGCTATGTATCATTCATTCGTTTGCTTTCTTTTTTTATTGTTATTATTATTTATTGGCTGTTCGCAGTTTCGTTTTTATTGCTTCGAATTAATCAATTAACGATCGGAAACATAATGCTCTTGTTTTTCATATGCATATATATTCAACACAAATTCGTTTAATTTTCATTAAAAAATTCATTGAATGATGTTAATGATGATTAAAACAAAAACTCACAATAAATTTGTGTTTTATGTTTGTTGTTCTCTCTCTTTCTTTCTCTCTCTCTCTCTCTCTCTCTCTCTCTTTTATTTTGTATATTTTGCTACACACACTGAAAATGATTGCCATCCAATGTTTACTTTTATCATTTGTTTCACTGCGTTCTCGCTTTACGTATATCTATGAATGCATGTTTATCTATGGTTTGATGACAGACTGTATTATACTCTCATAGTAATAATATAAATAGTTGTCTAACAAATATCACAAACACTGGTAGGCAATAGAATTAACGAGTGTGTAGAAAACGTCCGTTTTCGATTATTATCCAGGTTAAAATCATTTAAATTCATCACGATACTATATTCACATCCATTCTCAAATGGTTTTCGATTCATAGTTAAAATCGCTTCCGAATTTCAATTATGCACTTCATTTCGTTTATACTGCATACTACCTCTATAACATTCTACGATGTATGGACTATATTCAATTTTTCTTTTTGAAATTTCCACATTGTGGGGTTCTTGGTTCGACTAGAATGTGTGTGTGTATGGTTTTTAGTTTTTTTGCTCTTCTCTCATATTTTGTTTCATGCACATTTGATTCACACAGTCACAATCATGAAAACTAAATTGGTTCGAAAACTTTGTGTTTGTTTGTTGTTTTTTTTTTATTTACTTCAGTTGTTTCAATGAAAGTTGATTTTTTTACTTTGTTACACTAGCTTTAAATCACACTTTGTGTCCAAAATCACAAAAATTCAAACAAATTTAATACGTATATAAATTGAAGAGTGGAAGTTCACATTTTTCTTGAATATTTCCATACAGAAAACACACCATACTAAATAACAAAAAATTTTTTTTTTAATTTTTTGATGAAAAACGACGCGACGGTACGGATTCGTCGTACATACTGTTTGGTGTACACGTTCGGCATCAATCGGACCGGTGAACTCGGGTGACACGATTCGAATTATAGCCGTTTCTCTTTCTCATTCACAAGCGACGAACACTGACTGAGTGTGTTGTGTATGCGTTGCGTTGTGTGCTGCTTGCTCTTGTCGTACCGAATTTTACAGCGTTTTTCCGAAACCAAAACAAAAAATCTTTAGACCAATGGAAATTTGTTCCATGTACGATCATCGTATCTATACTATTATATCGCTTCGATACCATTCCATATTGTTGAATTTTCAAAGTTTTTAGCAATACAAATGATTCGATTTTTAAATTGTTAAAATTATATGCACAGAAAAATGCAGCCGATATTATGTGATCCGTGGCAGTAAAGTGTTAGCATTCAATATCGCGTTGTAAGTTTCAGGTATGAGCAGTGCGTAAAGTTGTAACAACCAAACAAATTGAAGTGAGACAAATAAACGACGGCAGCACACGTACAGATACCCATTTGCCGGATGTGCGACAGAGTGGAATATCATTCAGTATAAACAGCACTACCAAGCATACATAGCTCGATTGGTGCCGCTGATACCTCTGTTGCCGTACAGACAGAGACGAAGCGAACGCAACGCATATGCTAACTCAAATCGGTTTTCATAGTGGCTGTTTGTGTTGGATTTGTTGTTGTGCTTGCTTATATTACCATTTGGATATTCTATGGAAAGAGAAAGAGAGAGAGAGAGAGAGAGAGAGAGAGAGAGAGAGAGAGAGAGAGAGA